AAGATTACTGGGATAACACAGTTCCTCTTTTCGACTTGACTTCTGCTCTGTTCCGTCTCTCGAAAAAATTAAAGCTGCTGAAACCTATTGCTCGCACAATATCACGCGACCTTTTGAGTGATATATCTCAACGTATTAAGGAAGACTATGAGATCCTTTGTGCAAAGCAAGAACAGACTTTAAATGATCCCTCTGCATTTCATCAACATGAAGAAACAGAGGCATTAGCTCGGTGGGAGAGAAATGCGAATTTGGAGGAAAGCTTTCTGGCTCAGAAAGCAAAGCTACATTGGCTAAATGTTGGTGACAGAAACAATAGAATTTTTCATCGAGTGGTTCAAACAAGGAAAGCGAGGAATGGAATTCGTGAGTTGGAGCAGAATGGAGTAGTAATCACGGGTACAAATGAAATCAAGGAGGTGGCGGTCAACCACTTTTCTGAGTTTCTTAACTTTGTCCCGGAGGACCTGGTAGACACGAGGGTTAATGATTTGCGCGAGCTGATTGGGTTTCAATGCACTTCGGAAGATTGTATGAATCTATTACGGCTTGTGACGGCTGAGGAAGTAAAGGCTGTTCTTTTTGCAATGACTTCTAACAAATCGCCGGGTCCAGTGGTTATACGGTAGAATTCTTCAAGGAGAGCTGGTTGGTTTTATGAGCTGATTTTGTGGTGGGAATTCAGTCTTTTTTCAGAAAAGGGTTCTTGTTGAAAGGTGTTAATTCGACGATCCTTGCTCTTATTCCAAACAAAGAAGGGGCAACGCACATGAAAGATTTCAGACCTATCTGCGTTTGACTCGGTGCAATGGGTTTTTTTGCTAAACACTTTAGAAGCACTGAATGTTCCATCGGAATTTTTTCACTGTATAAGGCTTTGTATCACAACGGCCTCTTTTTCGGTCCAAATGAATGGTGAGCTAGCTGGTTATTTTGGGAGTTCAAGGGGTTTGCGACAAGGATGTTCTATGCCTCCTTATCTGTTTGTTGTCTGTATGAACGTACTCTCCAAACTGCTCGATAAGGCTGCTCTGAATCGGAGATCTGGGTATCACCTGAAGTGTGCAAATATTAGCCTGGTACACCTTTGTTTTGCTGATGACTTAATGGTTTTTTCAGATGGTTCGTTGAGTTCAATAGAGGGGATTGTTGAAGTGTTTGAGGATTTCTCAAAAATATCAGGGTTAAATATCAGTGTAGAGAAATCTACTTGCTACCTCGCAGGAGTTTCGGAGATGGGTAAAACAACTGTTTCGCAAAGATTCACATTTGAATTTGGGACTTTTCCAGTGCGGGATTTGGGCTTACCTCTATTGACGAAGAAGATGAGGACACTTGATTATGAACCTCTCATAGACAGAATCAAGACCAGAATGAACTCTTGGACAGCTCGAACACTGTCTTTTGCCGGGAGATTGCACCTTCTTTCATCGGTTATAGCGAGTACCACTAATTTCTAGATTTCAGCATTCCGATTGCCACATGGTTGTGTTGGGGAAATAGAATGGCTTTGTCAAGCGTTCTTGTGGTCGGGTCCTGATCTCAACCCGAGGAAAGCCAAGATAGCATGGCGGGATGTTTGTAAGCCTCGAATCAAAGGTGGTCTGGGTCTAAAGATTATTTGGGAAGCTAATGACGTTAGTGTTTTGAAGTTGGCGTGGAGACTTGCTACTGCGAATTCACTATGGGTTCAATGGACAAGGGCTAATCTGATGCGACAAGAGTCTCTTTGGCTAACACCGCAGCCTACAAACTCTTCGCCGGGATCTTGGATGTGGAAGGAGATTCTGCGATCTCGCCAGAAAGCTGCAACTTTTATGCGAGTAGAGATTGGTAATGGTAGGTCGGCTCTGGCTTGGCTCTGAGAGCTTAGTTTAAAGCTAGAGAAGTGTTTAATTTTGATGTAACTTTACTTAAAAACTGCTCGCATCTTTGATGTTGAAAACATTGTTTTTTTTTGTTTGAATAAATTTAACATTCATTCAAAAAAAAAAAACTATGTATGCAAACTTCGGATAGTTTAAATATTTCCTATCAATAATATTAACAAAAAGACCCATCGGTTCGACACATAAGATAAGAAAAAATAATCCCAGTGTTTGGAGAAACAACGACCAAGATCATGCAAAATGAACACATAATTTTTTAATCATAACCATAATAGCCACTTAGTTTAATAGCTAATGCTTAATTGGGTTACTATATAGGGATGTGTCCATTATCTTATTTGAAATATTTAGTATCTTGATTTATCTTATTGTGTTTTGGTCTAACGAAAAGTAGAAGAGAGTCGTTATGGTTTCTCGAATGGTTTGTTCATTGTTGTTTTGGTCTAATATGGTAAACCGTAAACCTAATGTTCTAAACCCGTTGTCTTTAATGTTACGTAAATTCAAAAGGTTATTCCTATATAGCTTAACTTTTATTCTGTTTTTTCTTTTGTTCAACGCTTAAGTCTATATGTTTACTTTTTGTTGATTTGCTAAATCTAATCTGGTGACGGTATCTTATTTTTAGATGCTTTTTTTAGCAAAAAGATTGTATCTTATTTAATGATAAGAAGATGTAGAAGATTATCTTAAAACTTGAAGAAAGTAAGGAGTTATAAACAAACAAGCTAAAATCATTAAGGTACTTCTAATAGTTCTGGTATTTTCAATTTTTTTTTGTGTTTTTTTGTTTTAATAGTCCTAGTATCTCTATTTTCCTGTTAATGTTTTAGTTTGGTGTGTTATATAATTTTTGAGGTCTAATTACTGATTGTTTGTTTAAAATATTCATTTGTTTTTTTTGTTATTTTTATTTATCTATACATTTGTTTATCAATTAGGTGGCGATAATAAATTTCTTAGAATGCCGATTTCATTTCAGAAATCGAGACTAGAAATCACTATAAAGGGATAGAATCTTCTTGGGTTGTAATTGCTATCTTATTCGGTTCCGCAGCTCTAGTGGTTCGCAATCCACAAACCATTCCAACTGACGGCCAAAATTTCTTTGAATTTGTCCTTGAATTCATTCGAGACGTGAGTCACACCCAGATTGGAGAAGAGTACGGTCCATGGGTTCTGTGTAAACATTACACAAAGTGTTCTCGATAAAGAAACAATACCAGAAATTTGGGTAGCTAAAATTATTTAACAAACTCAAGATGAGTATTTTAAAAAACTTTGGAAAATATCAAAAATTTTCAGTATATTTATGAAGTTTTAGATAATTTCAGATATATTCTTTTTTAACTTTGGGAGAGTTTCAGATTTAACCTATATTTCAAAGTCAAACACTAAACTAACCTCTTTTTTTTTTCTCTATCCAACTTTTGCCATTTTCTCACAATTTTATCTTTCCCACCTAAACTATTAACAAAAATGCCATTATACATCTAGTATTTCGATTTTTCTTTAATTTGGGTAAAGTCTCCTTGGTCCTCCTAAGGACCATTTATTTATGAAAATGCCATATTCTTCAATTCCTTCAACCACCATGAACAACCACGAAATAGGAATAAATGCTTCTCAACCAATTTTAAAACTGTAATAAGTAAATATCTGAGCTCATTCACTCATAACCTTGCTCATTATTTCATAATTTCTTCTTCAAAACATCTGGGCTACGTTACAATGCGTCGGGCCATGCATTTTCGGTGATTTCTGGTTACTCGACACCTGGGTTGTTTATTTTCAGAGAAATCCTTAGTTCTGGGTGCTTAAGAGAAACTTATGCAAGCTCAATTTTTTTAAAGGTAATCACCGCACTTCAATTTCTCCACATTTCAGTTTTTATATCGCAAAAGTAGACTTCTCGTGAAGTATACGGAAGTCTACTAGTCAACATAAGGTTATTTTTGCAATTGACTTCTTAATGTAGACTTCGTTAAACTTCACGAGAAGTCTATTCGACATCCTTTGAAAACAAAAAAAAAAACTTAGTAGACTTCGTTTGAAGGCTCAAGAAGTCTACTAAAGAAAAGAGATTATTTTTGTAGTTGACCGTATTTTGACTTTTGGATTTAGACTTCCGTATGAAGTCTACTGTTTACGTCTGCATAAAAAGTCTACCTTAAAGTTACTTTTGTAGTTTGACCAAAAACGTATTGGTCATTTTAGTGTTTGACTACTGTTTTTTAAAAATTAAAAAATTAAAAAAAATTCCGAAAAACTTCAGTAGACTTCTACAAACTATAGACTTCTTTGTGAAGTCTACTTATATTTTTCGGTCAAACTTAGAAGGAATCCTTTTTGAGTAGACTTCATTGTGAAGTCTATTCAAAAAATTCAATTGCAAAAATAACATATTTTTTTCGTAGACTTCTATTAAAAAAGTAGACTTCAAAAGTATACTGTCGGAGAAGTCTACTCTTACATGAAGTCTGCAATATAAGTCTACTTTGTTAGTCAATGCATCGGTTAAATGCTAAAGTAACCTTTTTAGACGGAAGTCTACTTCTGAAGTCTACTGAAGTAAAAGTCAACAGATTGGTCTATTGCAAAAATGACCTGTTTTTTAGTAGACTTCATTAGTAGACTTCTCTATGAAAAAGTAGACTTCTCCTTCAGTCTACATTTGAAGTCTGCTGTAGAAGTCTACTTTTTGGCATTTTTTTAAAACGCATTTTAGGCAAATTTATAAAGTATTTTTCAAAATTTTTGGATTAGAATTGCTTCTTAGTAAGTGATTGAACTACCCAGTGAATTTCATTTCATTTCATTCGATATTTATTGTTGAATCAGAAGTTTTGATTCTTAAGCTACTTAGCTTATCAAAGTAGACTTCGTCCTGTAGTCTACTAATGTTCTTTTCGGGAGAAGTCTACTCTTGATACAAAAAGTCTGTATGCAGTTTTTGCTAATATGGTTTATATGGTTATTTTTTCAGAGAATGGCTCAAATTCCAGTTGTGTACGGGGAGTGAAAGATTGAGGAGAATTCATGGCATTTTGTAGCTTGATTGCGTTAAGCAGAGTGCATATGGTACGTCTTTATGTGTCCATTCGAGTGGAGATGGATACTGAGGAGAACCAGGACGGATCAGATGAAGATTTAAGTGAGGAGTCTGAGGAAAATTCAGAACATTCTACCGATGATGAGGCAGACAGTTCTGATGTGAACGAGGATGGAGAAGATGTCGACGATGCAGCTTACTCTGACGGAGAAGATTACAGTGTCTATGGTAAAGTGAAAGATGAAGATGATGATGAAGATGAAGTCTGTATTGAAAATGTCAGAAACAGATATGGTGAAACAGGAAGCATGCCCATGTCATGGTCTGATAATATATATGTTAGGGCAAGTTTCCTTACAAAGGAGAAGTTGTTATCAGAGGTTAGATTGACTGCAATAATGTTAAAATTTGCTTTTAAAACAGAGAAGTCTACCAAAACCCTGTTTGTGGCTAAATGTCGAGTGGAAGGATGTGCTTGGATAAAAAGAGCGATCGTTAAGAATGATGCATCCACTTTTTGGGTGACAAAATATGTGAAAGACCACACATGTTCAATAGCCCATCGAATGGCTCAGCGTGGGAAGTCTACTCCTAAGTATATTGGCAAGCTGTTTATAAGCCATTTGGGCATCATTGATGGACTTACACCAGAACATGTCAGGGTTTCAATGAAGCATATGTTTGGCATCAAGATGGATTACACTACTTCATACAGATCTTTGATATATGCCCAATAATTGGTCAGGGGAACAGCTGAAGATGGATATGCGAGTCTCCCAGCTTACCTACATTCAGTGAACAAAGCCAATCCGGGAACTGTATCAGCTCTTCATGTAGATTCGAATAACAAATTCAAATATCTATTTCTCGCATTTGGATCATCGATTGCCAGTTTTCAGTACATGAGAAGAGTTATTGTTGTTGATGGATGTCATCTAACAGAAAAATACGAAGGTACTTTGTTGGTTGCCACCGCACAAGATGGAAACTTTCAGATTTTTCCTTTGGCCTTTGGAATTGTTGATGGTGAAGATGATGCTTCATGAGAATGGTTTTTTTCTAAACTGGTGAATGTGTCTCAGATGGTTATCCTTTGGTGATAGTTTCTGACAGCCATCTTTCTATTAAGAAAACTTGTCAAACTGTTTTCCCATGGGCAAAACGAGGGATATGCTTCTACCATCTACAACATAACATAGTAACAAAGTTTAGGGGGAAGCAGTTGCTGTACTTGGTAAAACGTGTGGCTTATGCTTACAACCTCTATGATTACAACCGGTACATGGCGGAGCTGAGACAGATCAAGCCTGACCTTGCTGACTATTTGAAAGAAGCCGATGTCTCCCTTTGGTCCCGAGTTCATTTTGTTGGAGACAGATACAATATTAAGACTAGCAATGTCGCAGAGTCTATAAATGCTGCACTTAAGAAGGCCTGGGCTATCCCATTTCATTCCTCTTGGATTTCATACGAGAGAAGCTCGGTCGGTGGTTTTTAAAACGCAGAGAGGATGCTTTGAGTCCCACAACACATAATACTCAGGGAGTGGAGTATTTGCTGGCGATTCGTGGACATTATGCAGATGCAATGGAGGTGGACCGAATTGACACTTGGAGATACTATGTGAAAGGAGGAACCAGGAATTGTATTGTTGATTTGGAACATGGAATGTGTGAATATGGTGTGTTTTACATCGAGAAGATCCCATGTTCACATGCTATTGCAGCTGCATTAGCCGGTGGGATAGCTGTGGATTCCCTTGTATGTCCGACTTACTCGAAAAACTACTTGTTTGCTGCTTACTCTGCCAACATATATCCCCAAATTTCAGAGGTCCAAGGAGTCAACCTATCAATATGTCTGCCACCAGACGTTCGCCGCAAACCAGGCAGACGGAAGAAGTCTCGATGGCAATCATGGCTAGAAATTGCTAGACGGAAAAGCAACAAGCCAAGGAAGCTGCACAAACTATACAGCTGCTCACAATGCAAGCAACCTGGTCATACCCTACCGAATTGTGTAAGTTGAGCTAAACTCATCTAATAATGTCCTATACAATATTAACAGTTTTATTTACTAAACTTTATGTCTCTCACTTAGACGTCGAAGATTCACAAGGACAATATCAAGAAGGCTCCGAAATAGGAGGACAAAGCTGCTATTGTTGTCAAGAAGTCTACTATGGAAGTCTATTGTCGAAGTCTACTATGTATGTGATATTTTGTTTACGGTTAGGGTTTGAAACGAACTCATTTAAGTAACTGCTTTAACGACTTTAACAGTGCGTATAACCATTGTACCTGTTTTTCTACGGTATTTCTGCTTATAAATTCTCGGGTTTAGACAAATTATAGTTTCATTCCAGACCCTTAGAAGATGTCGAACCTGATAAACTTCAACTCTCTCCCTTCCGACATTCTGTGGGATATCCTCTTAAAAATCACATCTCGTTCCTACGCTGCGCTCTGTAAAGCAAGGGTTTTCTCCAAACATCTAAATGAGATTTCTAATGAAGAGGGTTTTTTAAGAACCGTTGATTTAATAACTTTGACCATTCCATGGGTCTGGGATCAACATGGGAGGGTTGACGCATTCTTTTGGCGCTGTTTGGAGTGTAGAAATCCTACAGCGCAATGCCTACGAGACGTTTCTCTAATCTTCTATGAAGACAGCATCCAAGCAGGGTTTGATTTAATAAAGGTGTCATCAAATGGAGGATGCCTCGTGGCTACTTACTCCATGGTTATGTTCTCTTTAACCATGGATGGCAGCCATGATGTATTTAACCACATTCATGGTCTACTTCCGGCAGAGGCAACGAATATGAGGAAGACTATGCAGCACATCAACAGGTTTCCGACCACTTATAAGAAGCCTGACGAGTTTCACGAACCGGTCTTCCATGTTTTTGCTAAGGCACAATCAAGGAGTTGTGCTTGTATGAATCTGCCAAACCAGCACTGGATGGATGATGAAAACCTTGTCGACTCATATGGTGACAAACTCGAGAATATCCTAAACGAAAATACAACATATTTGGCATTTTAATTATACGATAGGTGGCCAAAAAACTTCCACACCTATCATCTACCAATTGCAAAAATGACATGTAATCACATTGAAGGTCATTTATGCAAGTAGCCCAAAAGTTGCCATAAAAATCAAAGTTAGTTTTAAATACGGATACCCTAAGCTTTTCTATCATAGACATCCAGCCCGGTTGCATCTAGCTTATCATGGCCCCTAGCACCTATTTCGTCAAAGATCTCTGCAGCCATTTTCTTCCTGATTTGTCGAATGTTTTTATCACAAAGTTGCGGAGGAAATGGCAAATCCAAAGCATGACACTCGATGTACTTCAGGCAGTAGACTCCGCAATCACCACTCTGAATGTTTTGAGGTATCTCCGTACCTGGTACTCGCGAATGTGTGAGCGGCGTGCAGGGGAATGTCCACTTGTCTCCATCAGGTGCACATGTCTGAAGAAGGTAGGGTATCATAACAGCGAGAGGCTCCACATCTTCGTCAATTTGGGCGTCAGATGCATGTTTGGTTCCCGCATGACTATCCCATATTGTGATATGCCTCATCACAAATGAAACCCAGATAGCAACCCAATGGTCCCCCCTGATGTGCAACATTGAGTACAAATGGTCGACTTCATAGGCCCACGTCTTTTTAGTCTGGCAGTAGATAGGTAATTCGCCAGTGTAATACGAATACGCTCCAGGTGGTAGAAGTTTGCCAGAACCATCTTCATTCGGCTCAGAGTTTATAAAGTCATTGTAGTCACGCCTCCAAAACGTAGCAAACATGGAGTTGAGGAAGCAAATCCAGTCAGATACAAACCATTCCGGATGCTTGGATAATCGCAGCCTGAGTACGTTAATATAAGCTTTCATGTACTGCACATTGATGAAAATAAGACATGAGTGAAGTCTGCAAACGAAGTCTACTAAAGAAGTCTACATATTATGTCTACGTATGAAGTCTAACTATGAAGTCTAATATGAACTAGTAAAACACTAACCGTATCAGCTAGCCATTTCTTCGGTGTCCGGAGAATGTAATACCAGTCGATCGAAGAGTTTTCTGGACGTCTTGGATAAGCACTGTATAAGTGAAAAAGTCAGACAGGAAAATAATAATATGAGGAATTCTACTTACATAAGTATAGAAGTCTACTTACGGGTTTGCTTTCACAAAGTTCATTAGAGTCGTATGATTCGCCCTGACACCGGTTGTATCGAAAGGATCATATCCACGGACACGGCCGGAGTGAGATGCCGACGTTGGAATGATCGCCTTTGCGGTGCTATTTCCTAAGAAATGACTATTCTGTGTCGCAGCCAACTGTTGGTTTCTGGCACTCATTGCTTGGGCAACTATCTGAGCTGCTGCTCTGGCTTTGGCATTTTTGGCTAGTGCAATTGTGTCGAAGTTAATATCACACATCTTCGGGTCAATTTCACAAAAGCTAGGCTCGGGGGCCTCTTTTTCCTTCATGGCAGCCTTCTTTCCTTTTGCATCCCCGGGGGCGTTAACACTCTCACTCGCACCAACGTTGACATTATCTTTCATCGGAGCATCTTTTTTCTCTGAATTACTCTGCATTTTATTGTCACAAACAAGCATGAATATACAAATGACAATACCATTGCTATAATTTAGTAACATGTTTTATCATAGTCTGAAAATTGTAAACAAGTAGTTTTTAAAACATAAGTAAATAATCTCACATGGTACATAGCACTATTAAACATGTTCGAATTCAAATGACATTAGTATTAAGTGTTCCTATCTTTTGATGATCTTGTTCGCATGAAATGTTTTTGTATAGGCGGAGGGTTTTTGGTACTAACCCCTTCATGCTTCTTGGATCCAGTGACCTGCTGCTGGGTTGACTGAACATTGTCCTTAACCTCTTCCTCAGTGTGCTTCGTCGACCCTGTAGTCAACTCCTCTACCGCGTGCTCTACAGATTCAACCTTGTCGGTGAGAAGTTTGATCTGCTTTTCACAGCTACCAAAACCATTCAGCATCTTGGTTGAAAGGCTTTTGAAGCATTGGTCGAAGTGCGCTTTCATAGTAGCGACAAATCCGACCCCTTCATCACCAACGAAAGAGGCGGCAGAGGCAGAGGCTGTGAAGGTTCTCTTGCGACTTGATTCATCTGAGGGAAGGCTCCTCTTTCCTGCTTCTGCCTTGACGATGTGTGCACCCAGAACACCTTCCAAAGGCCAGTGGTTTTTTTAGAACTTGAAATGGGGGTCATGGATTGCATTGACAATCTTGACAATATCCGGATCCTGTTCCTCATCATCCCAAACTGGAAATATATCCGACAAGTCCTTAGCCACACAGCACTGTATGCGAGCCTGGAAAAACACAATAAGTAAATGAATTTCTAGCCATATGAAGCCTGGAAAAACTACGTATGAAGTCTATCATTGAAGTCTACTACTGAAGTCTACAACTGAAGTCTTCTTCTAACAAGATTTTATATAGAAGTCTACACATGAAGTCTACTCCTAAATTCATTACTACATAGAAGTCTACTACGGAACAAGACTTCTAAATGAGAATGACTAGACTAATACAGTACCTGTTTTAGCATGTTGGCTTTGACGTTCTTTCGTCCTCTTGATCCTTTGTAAGCCAGCATAAGAGGTGTTGGATCATTTAGCAATGGTTCGCCAAATTCAGCAGCAAAATCCGGCAGAGCATAGTACACCCACACTTGAAGAGCTTGCACAAATCCTTCTATATGAATGTTTTTGCTGAGATCTTTCTCCTTAACAGACTTGATCAGATGCTGAAAAGCAATTCTTCCCCATGGTAACTCTTTAAAACCTTCGAGATCCATCATTAGTCTGGCATGGTTGACATTTGTGGATAAGCCTGGTCTCGTTGCCACTATGAAACCAGCGTAGATCCCAAGATATTCCAACCGCAGCCTATCATCCCGAGACCATGATGAGCAGTTGGAATAGGCTTCAATAATTTCGATTGTGCTTGGGCCCGACTCGACGTCGACCCCCATTAGCTCCCAAAATGCACCATGTCATCGAAAAACTCAAGATCAGTTACAGTCAAGTCATCCACGCACCCGCCATTGAGTCCGGTGATCTCCTCAAACTCATGCAGTTAAAACCGAACTGGAGTGGTACCAATCAGGCTCCATATCTCGTAACTCTGCTTGCAAACTATCTGAAAGGTCAGCATGTGGTGCACCAGCCTAGAAGCCCAACCAAAATCCAAGTCGTGGAACTTTAAAAAGACACTCAACGGTGACTCGTATATCTCTTCCCATTCATCCTCTTGTAGAGCTGACCGTAGTGCAGGTACCAGTCTATAATCATCAGCATAATAGCCGATGCTTTTATCCGGGGCTGGCTCACCGCCTTTGGTGTACAGTCTTCTAGGGAATTCAGAGGCCACCATTATCTAACACAGATTTCTGCATCAACGGTAACAAATCTCTAATGAGATAAACTAGTTATAACTAACGTTTTTGAAACTATACACGAATGAAGTCTACTTTTACAAAATGAAGTCTACTTTTGATACAATGAAGTCTACTTTTTCAAAATGAAGTCTACTTTTTCAAAATGAAGTCTACTTTTTCAAAATGAAGTCTACTTTTTCAAAATGAAGTCTACTTTTTCAAAATGAAGTCTACTTTTGCAACATGAAGTCTACTTTTACAAAATGAAGTCTACTATTGCCAAATGAAGTCTACTTTTGCTAAAGGAAGTCTACTTTCACATTCTAAGTACAATCCGAGTCGAGAAGTCTACTGAAGCCAACCGAAGCAATCAAAACATCAAAAAAACAGTATATGAAGTCTACGGAAGCTACATGAAGCAATCAAAACATCATAAATACTGCATATGCAGTCTACTGAACCCAACCGAAGCAATCAATACATGATAAATACTGTATATGAAGTCTACTAAAACTAATCATCCAAATGGAATCTACAAAGTTTATAGTGTTTACAGCCGTGATTAGATGAAGCCGGCGTCGAGAAAATGCAACCAGATCTAGGAAAAAAAACCTAAGTACTCAAACCCGACGGACAAAATTACAGGAAGATAGAAGAAATAGAGGAATAGCTAAGTATATATCTTCGGAAGGACATGTACTAACCGTTTTGAGGCAGGAAATGACGTTAACCTCCAGCGGCGAAAGCAGATCTGCAAAAAAGAAAAAAACCCTAATTTCAGATCTGGATACTGGTGGTTACGAAAACGGAAAGGTGATGAATACGGAGGAGTAAGGAAGCATGGGGGTGTGGTTGGAGGAAGAAAACTTGCCTGAACGGGTTTATCGGCGGCGGTTCTATAAGTCGTTGGCGCCGGAGAAGAGAAACAGAAATCGCCTTCGACCTTTTTTTTAAACACGAACTTTCGACGGTTTTTTTTTACGGGATCTGTAAAATTCCTTTATATAGTCTGGTAATTCAGTTCCGTTCGGGTAATTTTTTTTGGTTAGGGTTAATAATTTTACGGGTGTAGGTAAACTTACCCGGTTACGGGCAGTTTTTCTTGGTTAAGAGAAGTTATTCCCGGTTTAATTTCGGTTAGGTTAATTAATTCGGTTTAGCAGACTATAATATAGAAGTCTACAACTTTTAAAACCTAAATAAAAAATTTTCTTCTACTTAATTTAAAAACATAAATTTCCATTTAGCAATATGAAAAAATAATTTATGTACATTTGGGTTACGATTACGGAATTTATGAATGTAAATTAGATACCAAAATAATTTTTTCTAAATTTTTAAATTAAATTTCCATATTTAATTACTTAGTAGACTTCATTTCGATAAAAACAGTCTACTATTAGACTTCTTTCTCTTTTTAGTAGACTTCGTCAGGGTGTAAACGGTAATTAGGACATCCGTTTTTTGTTTACTCATACAGGATTAAATGGTATTTTCACTACCCCTTTAGGTTATTTCTGCCAAATATTTTTTCAGGGGTCTACTTTTGTATTCAAAATCAAGTTTTAGGTTATTTTTAGCAAAAATCCCTTTAACTTTTCATTCTAAAACTAGTCATTCAGGTACTTTTTCTCTTTTTTTGCTCATTTCCTTTACCATTTTTGTATACATTTGAATAAAATAAATTGTCCTAAATGATTTTTTTTTTAAAAAAAAACGAGATTAGAGATGGAAAATCCATATGGGTATGAGTCGTGACGGGAAACAAGGCTCAAATGGACATGCTCTTCATATACATCTCCATAACTTGTGTTAGAATCTTGATACTATTGCCTAGACACGTCAATATGCAGTGTTTTTGGCAAGTTTTTCAGTGTAATAACACAATACAATAGAAACTCTATAAATTAATATTCAATAAATTAATAAACTATTTAATTAATAATTTTTTTTAAATCCAAATTTAAATTTTTACCTAATTAATCATTCATAAATTAATAACTCTTTAAATTAATATTAAGTCCCAACATTATTAATTTATGGAGTTTTTACTGTATTTGGTCTTTAACTATTTAATTTATCAGGTAAAAGTGGTTCACTGTTTTGTCAAACTATAATTACCGATAACACAATGTTTGGCTTTATGTTTTAGTTTTCAGAGTTATCTCACAGCTGAGTAATGTTTTTCAATATCCGATATACATGTTTATGTTCCTTTTCTGCAATATCCCGTCCCAATTTCTTAAATGAACATGCTTAAATATACATATGAAAATTTTAACTATTTCATTTTTTTTGAAATGCAACTACAATTTGTGCTTTAATTATAAAAAAGTTATATTTGTAAAAATATGTATTCATTGCTTAATTCACATGATATACGAGTCGTGGGGAGCGTATAAGTTTTTTTGCAATTGTAGAAAGTGTAATTAGGGATGAAACTATGGCTTGGGTTTTCGTAAGAAGTTTCAATAAAAATATAGACATAAAAAAGCATTGATAGTGTTTTAAACAAAGATAATCAACTTCAATTCAAATTTGGTTATGCTTAGGAATTGCATTAATAAATAGATGCACATTATTTATGAATAAATATCGATTTTAGATTTACTATTTGATGATAAATCCAATCAAATTTTTAGTTTAGTATAAATCAATAAAAAGAAAAATTATAACAAAATATAAATATAATATTCAAGAAAAGTACTTTAATTTTAACATCTATTTATTTTTATTATGTGTTTGTACCCCGCACATAGTGCGGATCCGTTAGCGAGTTTTTAAATAATTATTAATAAAAATCATTAAGCACTTAATTCATTCATTGTATTTGTCTTTTTGGTTTTCTTCTTTTTCTGGTTTTTTATGCCTCAGTTTTTTTTTTCACATAGTCATAGTTGTCATCTTCATCTTTCAATCTGCTTCCTCATTTTCCACGTCTTTTGATATAAGATTGGAATCCACCAAATTCTATAGTTCACAAGGTTATCATAGACAATAATTTTGTTTTGTAAAAGTGGGCGATGATAGAGATAGATATGGTGGTTTGATTGACTCTCTCAATCTTTGGAATGAGAACAAACAAGTTTCTCAATCAGTGAATGAACAAGTTATTTGAGTCACTCAAACAACTAAATTCGTAACTTCTAAAGAATAGAAAGGAATCACACACTTTTATTCAAAATAAAAAAGACATATTCTTCAAAGACACTCTTTGTAAGAAAATGAAAATAAAAAAATCATTTAGCACTTAATTAATTCATTGTATTTATCTTTTTTGTTTTGTTTTTTCTGGGGTTTTAAAGCCTCAGTTTTTTTTTCTTTTTCACATTTCATAGTTTTCATCTTCATCTTTCAATCTGCTTCCTCATTTTCAACATCTTTTGATATAAGATTGGAATCCATCAAATCTTATAATTAACAAAGTTGTCAAAGACAACAAGTTTTGTTGCAGAAGTGGGCGATGATAGAGATAGAAGATGGTGGTTTGATTGACTCTCTCAATCCTTGGGCGAACAAATTATTTGAGTCACTCAGATAACTAAATTTGTGGCTTCTAATGAATAGAAGTGAATCACACACTTTTATTCAAAAGAAAAAAGACATATTATTCAAAGACACTCTTTCTAACAAAACGAAAATACTTTTACTAAATTCTGAGATTGAAAGGTGAGTTTTTAAAATGGACTAAGAGGAGCTTATATAATGCTCTTACATGTTCTAAAATGCTAAAGACAAAGAAACAAATCAAAGCTAATAAAAAATTAGTGTTAGGCTCTAAATGAGTGGATCTCGGCCAAACATGGAAATGTGATGACGCCTTTGTATCTGGATGGTTTTAGTGGATAAGTGAGCTTCTCTGAAACATTCTGATCTTCACAAAAGACTCCTAAGTCGTACAAATCAAAGGAAAAGAGCCGTTGGTGATTTATGGCACCAAGTGTGAATGCGGCCACATAAGAAAACTAAGCTTTGAAGAGGATCCGCCTGATCCTATGAGTGCTAGTGCATGTGAAGATTTTTCTAAGCTTCTTTATTTGCATTAGAGTCTCTCATGGGCACCAAACTCTTGTAGATAGCGAACTAAACCAGTCAGAGCTCGGACCTACTATAAACGGAACCAAGTCAATCTTTTGGGAGATTGGGTCTACCTTGTGGATCCAATGGGAATTTATTCGGATCTTGGGCTTGTTGGATCCAGGAAAGAACAAACAATATTCTCCAAGTAGTTTTGGGCTGAGACCGTGGCTGAGTTTGGCTATGTAGTACGATCTTTGGCCTAGGTGCGCAATTGGGTCTGAACCAGATCTTCCAACTTGTAAAGTGAATAACTTCCCAACCATAACCGGAATTGGTTTAATTCCAATATTATCCGATTCTATGATGAATCAAGACTCCAGAACAAGTCGGGTTATAGCTTGAATCCTCCTGGTTTGGTCGAAACCTCCAATTATGGTATGTACGTCCAAATCGTAGAAGTTATGGATCAATTGGTTTGTAAACTGAATAAATCCTTTTTCTGAGCTCCAACTAGACTGATTCCACTTCGAGACATTCAATAGGTGAGGTAGTAATGCAATTCAAGTGGTCGTCGA